AAAGAGTTACAGAATTTTACAATGCTTATTTTTAAAGAGTAGGAGGAAGTCCTTGAAAAGAGGTTCTATGACCACCTTCCTGTCCTTGAGGAGAAGCCAATAAACAGTACACACTGCTACGCCCTTTGTTCTATTGGCCAGATATTCGTCTTCTAGAACACTGCCATTCCACCATGATACCACATTATTTTTACTCCTACCTATTGCATCTTGCATACGAAATACTATTCTATATTTCATCCATCTTTCTTTCCCTCTTGTGCATTTGCCTCTCAATGACACATAGAATTCTTGTAGAGAATGTTACTCGGGATCTTTAAGATGATACTATAACTAGAATTCTTGCCTGAAGGGATCACATTAACAAAGTAAAATGACCATGTATGTTTTAAAATAACTCCTTTAAAAGTCTTTTTGACTTAAGCTGTTAGTAAATCTTCTCTTGGTGTTTTTGTGATATGACAGGTGGAATTATTTAACCTAATCAGTGCCATCTTCTGATTGCATTTTTTAATGGATTTTTTTTAAAAAAGTTTTTTTGCCATAGTGTGCATGTGCTAGCCAGAGAGAGAGAAGAAGTAAGAAATCACCCCCTCGTGGGATGGCCACACTGCAGTCCCTTCTCCTCTAATCTCCTCTTGGGATTTTGGGCATGTATACACACATGTTTGGCATGGTTTTCAAGCTGCCGGGTCCAGGAATTAAACTGTGATCAGCCATGTGGGAGTCCAGCACCTTAACCACCATGCCACCTGCTGGCTTCATTGCATGTTTTGACAAAGAACAGAACATGCTGGATTTATGTTCTTAGACAGTGGGCAATATTGTGAAGCTCTACTACATATATATGAAGTGCTCAACAATAGGTCAAAAAAACTTCTTGGTGTCTGGAATTGAATACATAAAATTTAAACTGCTGTCTCTCTGACCAAGCAAGTGTGTGGGGTCGAGTTGCTCATGACTTTACATTTACTGTGTCTTCTTTTAGGATGGATCAAACCTTACTGCAAGTCAGAGGGCCTACGCACCTGAGCAACTGCAGAAACAGGACAATTTAACCATTGACACCCAATATTACCTGGCCCAGCAGATCCACCCAGTTGTGGCTCGGATCTGTGAGCCAATAGATGGAATCGATGCTGTCCTCATTGCAACCTGGTTAGGTAAGTGTCCCAAGTACAGGTAGACCCCTCATACGGTAATAGTGGTATGCAGAATCCTTCAACTGTTGGGATCCCTGTTTATGAGCCTGGCATTGTGCCTGACACTTCTTTTTTATAGTTAGGTATTTATTGTTTGGTTGTCCTGTTATTGTCTGTCTCCCTCATAGACTTATGAGCATCACACCCTTGCTCGGTCTGTAAATGTATGCCTGCTCTGTGGTTGGCACTCACTGAGTAAACGCTGAGGGAAGGGAGGGAAGGCAAAAGAAGAGGAAGAGAAGATTGGAAGTACCATTATAGTCACTGAGCTTACATTGCAACAGCTCTATTTAGGGAACCTCCATTAATAAGGTCACGGATGGTATCTTGCTTATTGGTTCATCTTGTCTCGGTCTCTAAAGGTATTTTTTATGTAAGGTGAGAAAACAGAGCTTTTTAAATGAAAATGTTAATTTTTAATCTTTAATTGCTTGTGAGTCTCCTGCTCTTGCTGTAATTTAAATTGTTCTAAAACTGGACTTACTGTTAATGCCCTAGGAATTGACTGATTTCTTAATTTCTCATCATCCCAGGAGATGTCGGCCAACCCTGAGACCTCAGTGTTTCTTTGACTTTATGCCGTGTCACTGATATCTTTTGATTAGAAATGTATTTCATAACAGAGCCCTGATTTCATTTCTAGGCAGCAGTAAGCTCATAAGAATTCTGTTACTTTTAAGGTCTTGGCTTTCTTTTTTTATTATAGGCAACGATGACTGTTTTTAGAAATCTGCATCCTACAGTCCTTTGATGGCTCCTCATTATCTAGAAATCAAGTCCAGATGCCACTGGCATTCTCACAGACTCTACCTTTTGGCAATCATAGAGCATCTTCTAGCTTCAACCTATACGTCTAGATTTATTTCCTATTCAATCTTCTCATTGTCTCTTAAATATGACATTGTTTATTCTTTCCCTTCTTCATGGAAAATTCTTCCCCTCCTTTCACTAAGAAACACCTGGCTTAAACCACAGACTTTGGCATCATAGATACCTGCGTTTGAGTGCAGGTCTGTCATTCACAAGCCTCTGAATCTTGGTCTATACCTTGGTTCCTTGGGTTACAGAATAGAATTGCCCCGAGGAAGAAATAAAATGATGTCAGTGAGATGGGGAGAGGGAGCACTCTGTGCACTCTTACCCTCCTTTCAGGCCTCTGTATACCTATGACTATACCCCTCCAATCTGTTGCATTTGCACATAGTTAGTATTCACTGTTGTTTGCACATAGTAGTAGAATGAGATTGGATTTGCCATAGGTGAATTGTCTAATAAATTGTACATTTTTCCATTCTACCCCTGTTGAGTGTGTTTGAACTCCTCCCTGCCCCTCCCCACCCCCTCTATCCCATCAGTGTCTGCTCTGGAAGTGGAAACTCATTTTTGACATTTGCCTAAGCAAAACATAATTAGGAAGATAAAATTCTGCTACCAAAATAATCATATAATGTATTCTCCAAGTTGAGTTGTATTTGATGATGTTTATAAAGCCTCAGCTGGGAGGGGGGAGACTGTGAATGCATGATATTTTTTAGCGTCACTTTTTTTCCCTCTCCTATACATTGAGTGCTCACTGTATTGGATACTGTGGTGAGCACTTGGCATTTTTCTCTCACTTATTCCTTGCAACAGCCTCATGAGGGCACGTCGCATTAGCTCCATTTTAAAGCACAGGAAGCCATGGCTTAGAGAGGTAACTAACTTGGTCTTGTCACAGAGCTAGTGAGTGACTGGTTGTGATTGCATTTTAACTCAACTCTGTGTGATTCCAGAGGTTGTGCTCTTTACCACAGTGCCAAATGTCATCGCCTCATCTCAGCTCTTAGAGGCTGTGAGAGCAAGGCGGTGGGATGGTGTGAATGTACCAGCATGGAAGGGGCCTCTATCTTCCTCGTGCTCCCTTCCCACCGTCTACCTCATGTCATGTCTCTCACTGAAATCCTCAGAGCAAAACCAGTTTTTTAAGAGTAGGTTTCCCAGTTTTTCCATTAATATCATTAAGAACCTGGCCTAGAGCCAGCCTGTGGTATGGTGGTTGAAGTGCTGGATTCCCACATGGCCGACTGCAGTTTGAGTCCTGGACTTGGTAGATTGCTTTCTCATTTTTCTTCTCTCTGTCTCTGTTCATGTTAACAAATACTAATAGTGAATAAAATTAAATAAAATAATTCATTAAAAAAAAGAACCTACTCTAAAAGCAGACTGTTGCTTTTTGTTCCTTTGGTTTGAATCTTCCAGTGGCCCAGCCCTGAGAGGGGTAGATGGAATAAACCCCATATTATGAATGATGTTTAAGAGAGAGAAGTACAGAGCTTTTATTTCAGCAAAGAGCAGAACAGCAAAGGATGATGGGGCCTTCTTGGTGGACAGACCTGATGCCTACTCTGATATGTCAAGACAGGCTATACCAAGAAGGGAGCCGACTAATTTTGCTGGTTCCAGAAGTCATAGGATCATTTCTGTTTATAAGTTGAACAGTGGGCCAGTTTTGATTTGCTTAGAGATCATTTATCTTAACCACACGTGCCTTATAATCATGGACTGCCTTATGAATTTAGTTTTCACAATTTATTTTCAAAGCCCATAGTAGACTAGTGGGTCTCCTTTTCAGAGGTGTGATGTCTCATTACTGCCTAGACTTGCCTGAGGTCCCATCACATACCCACTCTTCTGTCCTATAACCCCAATGCTCCCTGGAAGCAGCCATAGCCTGGTGTGTGTCCTCTGCCTTGCCGGAGCTACTGCTGCTGCTCCTCCTTTATTTTTTTCCTTTGCTGTAGGGTGTGTGCACTCACCAGAGGAGCAGAGAGAGACAGAAAGTGAGAAATGACTCCCCGGGGGGCGGGGGGGGATGGCCATGCCACAATTCCTTCTCCTCCATTCTCTTCTCGGGATTTTGGGCACACATGCACGCAGCCTGGCGTGAGTTTTAAGCTGCTGAGTCTGGGACTTGAACCATACTGGACTACGTGGGAGTCCAGTGAAGTAACCATTACGCCATCTGCTGGTCCTATGCTGCTCTGTTTTTATAGCTCCTTTTCCTCTTCTGCCATTTGACAGCGGTTTTGATACCGAGGATGTGCAAAGTTGTCCTCATTGTGTAGTCCCCCTCCTCCCCTGCTGATCCTCTCCCACCCAGCTGCCTGCCAGACCAGCAGTACATTCATATCCATCTCCATTAGGAACAGCTCTTTAGTCCTGTATCTCCTCCCCTTTCCTCACAGGAGGTTCACCGTTAATGAAGTGCAGGCCCGGAAGTGCCTGTCCCCATGAAGATCTGTAGAAATCATTGAAGCTCGCCTTGCAGATCTCTGCAAGCATTTGCTCCCTGCCCTATTCACGAGCTGGATTTTTATCTGCACCCTTTATTCCCCCACCCCAAGAGAAAAATTAGGGTGGCTATTCACTAGGGGCTTCGAGGCCCCTGTTATCAGTTCTCCTGTAGCCTGTGGTTTTAGAGAGGAGGAGGGTGGAGATGCGGAAGCGGTGCAAAGTAAGGGGAGTGTTAGGGGGTATGTGGTTTCTAAGAGGTATGAGCTGTAGGCATAAAATTACTGTAATTTGTTTTTAAAATTCTAAATCTGTTTTCTTTATATAAAAAAAACTGCAGTTGTGAACTGACACTGTTAAATAAGATGATGTGTACAAATGTATACATAAAATACAAGCCCTCCAACTGCCTAATCACAGACATAAAATAATTCTCTTGCTTTTAATGTAGTTTTTATCTTTGATTAATGAAATGTATTACAGTGTTGAAACTTTAGCGAAGTTTGATACTTTGTCCTTTTAGTTCGTACAAAGAAATCAGGAATAATGGCATAATTTCATTTAGGAAAATTATTAAGTTCATGATTTTTTATTTTTAAGACTCTTTTGTGGAGAGCAACTATATTTTTCAGCTACCTTTTTCTTTTTCTATTGCTTTTATACTGCTTTCCTTGAAATGAAAGGCAAGCGTCAAGTGTTAGTTTTATCCTGTGGCTTCACTTTGGAAAATTCTCTATTTCTTCCTGTCAAGATACCTCCCGAAGTCTGTCTGGTGGCATGCTGCATGGCCAGGTGTTCCGTATGGGAAGGCCTTTTTTGTGAAAAGGAGAGAGGACAGTCTATGAAATGAGTGAATGAATAAGTCTGTTGAATTGAAAGAGAATAATTTGTTCTCTTTAATAACTAATGGTCCTCATTATCCCACAGTAAAATGTGTATCATTTTTCTGAAACCCATGCAAGATTATTGCTATTGGGCTTAAATAAAGCAAAATTTTACTCTTTTCTATCTGTGAATAGGAAAAAATATAGTATTACTGTTCTTATACAATAGCCCTATGGGAAACATGGCTACTAAAACTGGGAACTCTTAGCTTTTGTTCACTAGACTATGGGGTTTTTTTTTTCTCTCTCTCGCGTTCTAATGAAAGCTCTCTGTTCTGTGGATGAAATATTCACAGTGTGCTCAAACATCCAAATAGTCTTCTGTACCTAGCAAACCAGGCCAGTGATGAGACTAGTCTAAAGTTCATTCTTGAATTTCATCTTTTAATAAATTTATATTTCATACATAGCAATACTTAAAGGTATACATAATGCCATGCTTCCAATGAGCAATAATTTGTACAATAGATGTTGTAAAGTACATTTCTTCATGGTCAGTGATAAAATTTCAGGCATTTGACTAGTTGGGCAGTTTTCTCATTGGTCCTGACAAATTATTGATGTTTGAAGAACATGAGCATTTATGATTTAATTGATAAAAACAGTGCCTAAAACAAGGCAGAACATAGTCCAGTGTGTTCTCGTCTTAAATTGAAAAGAAAACAATTCCTTTTTGGAAAATGGTCCACAAGGCCAGCAGGTGGAGTGGTGGTTAAGGTGCTTGGCTCCCACATGGTCAGCCACGGTTCAAGTCCAGATCTGGCAGCTGGACACTCAACTCCGAGCATGAGTGCATGCGTGCCCAAA